GTCATCAGATAACATTTACAAAAAATATGCTTTAATTATGGAATAAATTTTTAAGAATTTATAGCTTGTCAAATAAGACGGTCGTAATTATGGAGGAACATGAATTCCACATTAAATAACAGGACAAAAACAATTACATAGTGACGATATAATTTTTTTTTAATTAGAAGGTAACGAATTTTTTTTTTCAAGCATAACCCTTTGTATGACGAATCCTAGTTGTATATACCACTGCCCAATAGCTTATATATTATAAAATATAATATAATATGTATATACTATATAGATTTGAGCAACGAAAGTAGAATTCCAAGTTCAGTAATTATCTTCTGAAACGTGTGATACATATATTACCAGAATTGTGCTGTTATAATAATTTTATCAAATGTTATTTGGTATGCCAATTCCTGCTACAGAAATTACTTGTTAATTGTATGCAAAAAATATTAGTCTCAATAATATTATTTGTACATCTTTGAATAAAGAAATGCGGAAATATTAAAGGTTTTACTGTTTTATTTATAATCGAATTATGAATAAAAACTGTTCCCACGGATAGTTACGTATTTTGTCTTAATTCCGTATCCCTATTTAAATTTTCCCTTATATGTATATAAGAATTAAATGAAATTTTACATGTGTAGGCTTTGAATAATAAACATTTGTTTTTTTGTTGATTATAAACTACTGGTTAAATTGAAAAAAATAAAATAAACATTGGTAAGTACAATAAACTGTGTTCATTGTCTATGTCCTTGATATGACGAATAACTATAGTAATTATATTAAGTAAGACCTTCGGTAAATTAAATTCAAACAGATTAACTAGGATTGGGCGTTATGGACAAATCTGTCAACACTAAGTTTTTTAATGAATCATACTGTCTTCCGCATTTAGTTTCCATTAAATAAAATTTTAATGTTCATTTGACCTAATGTGGAATAAAGAAAAAAAATTATCATTGTATAAAAACATTAGAGCAAAGCTACAAAAACTACAATAGATTTTTAAATGAATGACGAACTTCTTTTTAACTAACTATATGACAACAAAAATCACTGCTCGTAGAAAATGCATATGAAAAATCAAGTTAAGTTGTTATAACAACCCTTTCCTTGGAAAGAGCATACCTTCTTACGATTATTAAATTCAACATCTGCATCAAAACCAATACCTTGAGGATAATACAAACCTTAACTCTATAAATTAATTAGGCTATTTTGGAATGTTCAGCAAACAATAACAATAAAGAACACTTTAAAATTATTTAGTGATTTTAATCATTATAGGAATCTATTTGTAATAGTAATAATTCTGCTAGATAATAGCATAATTAAATTTATTTATTTTTTATTTCAGGGACTTACGTCAATTTGACTAACTTTTAAAGAAAGCCCTTTAAAATGTTGAAAATATTCACATATTACAGGAAAATTCTTACTAATTTTATTACTTATTTGAAAAATATAATATAATGTAAACTACAATTTTCTATAAAAAAATTAAGAAAAAACTAAATAACATACATAATATATAATAAAAATAAATAAAATAATAAAATACATATTCTCTAGAATTAAAGAATATTAGAATAAATATTTAGTAAAGAAATTAAAAATAAGAAAAAAATTGGGGAAGTTATTATCTTAAAAAAAAACACTGAACATTTTTAAGAGTTTAATGCCAAAAGACCTTTTTTTATATATATACTTATATCAAATTTGTAAATAACTATCAAAACATATGGATAAATTTAATTAACGTAACGCTAACTACAAAATATAGGTACTGTATTTTTAGTTTACATGACTGATTAAGTTTTAATAACACTTTGAGATTATTTTGTTTAAATAAAGGAAAATTGAGTAAGGTTTCAAACTCAGATGAATAGTGTGGTCAAGTCGGTGACGTGCTAATATCTGACGCGCAGTGTTGGGGTCCTAGACTCGGTTACAGGCGTCTCCATTTGCTAAACGAGAGATCAGTTCAGTAATTGGATTCACCATCCCTCTCTCCAGTAACGCTTTAAAATCATACGTTCTAGAGTATTTAAGGTTAAGAAACTCCCTCTTTGGTAAAAGCCGCAATGGCCCTAAAAAAGGGCTGTAAAAAGCGAGAAAACCGTTCTTACCCCGAAATAGATAATGTTGTATAATGCAGTAAATAAATCATCGAGTATGATGTAGTAATGAGATATATTTTAATATAATATGATTATCTATTGTTTGATTTTAAATAATCTTTATACTAGTTTGAAAAGTGTATATTCCATGTATTCCTAACTGTCATTAGACACACAGTAAACCGCTAATATTGGATTACATTTCTACTATTCCATAATCTTTCTATTATTTAGCGAACAATCATTATGTTATTAAGACTAGTATTACTAAAAACCAAATGACCTAGACAAGAATTGCGTTGGCCAACGACCATAGATATGTTATACAATATGTAGAGGGACCACCTATTGACAGTGAAACAGCTTGTCTCGGAATTGTGTAAAGTCTACTGTAAGCTTATTTACGCTATTAAAATAGTAAGATAATGATAGAACTTTAACTAATATTTTGAGTATTTCTCGTAAAATCTGATTATAGCGTCAAGAAGTTCATAACATTAATAATTAAGCAAGTGAGCTTTATTAAAATGTTCAAACATCATACTTATGATTACTTAAAGAAAAAAATTTTCATACCACATTTTATAGCTAAAAATAAAAAAAAATCAGTAATGATAGTTACATTTTCATTAATAAATGAATACAACTTTTTCGTCAGGCGTAATTAAATACTATACTTAGCGAAATTTCTAAGAAATAGTATACAGAGTGTTCAGTAAGTAAGGAAACGAGTAAATTGTTATAAACAATGAGAACAATAGATACCTATTTCCTTACTTCGTGAATACCCTAATTATTAAAGTATATAGAGATATGAAAATCACATCATAAAAGTTACAATATAAGTTCATATTTTCAAAATTCAGAAGTCTTGATTTTAAATTTAGTAAAGTAAATATTTTTTAAATACTACAATAATCAAAATTAAAAATACATTTTTTTTAATACATTTTAATTACATTAATTATATGAATTTTTTTTGTAAAAAATTACATGGATCTTTATACTGATTTTATTATTTTTACAATAAAAACTTAAAAATAATAACATAATATTAACTAGATTATCGATATATCGGGAAAATATTTTTACTATTTTCAAGGCGAAAGAAAATTTATTTAATAGTTCTTTGAGTACTAATAATATTATTGTTATGTATACCAATTGTCTGTAAATTAAAACGGTTATCATTTATAAAAAATAATGTCGTTTATCAACTACAACTTAATTAATTTTGCATATTACATGTCAAGGGGGATGGATATGGCCAAATTGATAACGCGATAGTGCCTGAGTGTCTCAGGTTCGACACTCAGTCACGGGCACCTCCATTTGCTGAAAAAAAAAGTCGGTTTATGTTTTCTGCAAACCAGATAAATATATAGAATTGAAAGTGGAAAAGTAGAGTTCAAAATATGTTAGACTATTAACAACCCAGACATTTTTTTTCTTATTTACAAGCTATTTCAATTAAAATTTTGTAAAGTCCAGATTATTATATTTTACAGTAATTTCTTTTTATATTATTTTAAAATGCGCATAACTTGGTCTGAAGTTTTTAAATTAACCACTTAAATATAAATATAGCAAATAATAACTATTTTATACGTTTACGGCTAGGATTGAATTTAGATAGGATGAAAAAATTAAACCTTATAAAAAATTATCACTTAATAAGTAGTAGTCAAAACTGAATCCCTTTGAAGATTATAGAAGTGAAAACCAATTACATTTTTTTTTTTATTTTACTAAAAAATAAAAAGGTTTTTTTTATAAAAGAACTGTTATGAATAAGTGTAAGAGTAACTTGTATTTATTCACTGATTTTCCGCTTTTTTTTCCTTTTTCGAACTGAGCAATTCAATAATAGATAGCCCAAGTTTTTATTTTTTTGAAAATAAAACTCTTCTCTACGTAATAATTAATTTACTAATATGTCCGGAAAAAGTTTTGAATTTAAGATGAAAATAAAACAAATGTTTAATTTAATTTGTACAATTTGTCACCAAATTGGACCAGTCTACTCCCCTTAGTACACTAAAAAGATAAGTATAGCTTCGTGAAAAATGACTTACAAAATATTTAAGGTATTAAAATTGTCAAATTTTACATCCAAAAAAAAATTTGAAAAGTTAACTTTACTTTGGTGGACATTTCTGATAGTAGACAAATAATCAATGCGGCTTTTTAATATTATAATACATTTTAAAACCTTTAATTTGATATAGACTAAGAGTGTTAGATAACCAAAAACTCCCTCAAAAATGTCAACCCAAGATACATGGTAAACACATTACTGAATTTCGGTGTAATTGACACATTTTTGAACCTTCGATATATTTTTGCACATATCGCACCGCGTGGCCAAATAGGTCGGTTTGGACTTTCATATGTAAGTATAGTCCTTGTGAAATTTTAAGGGAAATAATTAAGTAATAATAGACTGCTTAAAGCAATTTTACTTTAAATATGTTTTTCCTAAAATATCATAAAGAATGTCGGTCATGTATTTTTTTATATTTCCTCATGATAATAGAGTATTTCAAATATTGGGTTTATTATTATTATTCCAAAATTGAAATATTCTATGATTTTTCAAGAAAAAATTCGATAAATCTTATTACGTGAATCTTTCGTGAAGGTGACGGTACATAAAAAACTAGAAGACATAAAAATGAAATCATGTACTGAGTAAAGGTCAGTGTTGTTTGTAAAAATCGTCTGGAATTGTATTAATTATTAGGAAGGGGAGATAAGTGTAGGGTGGGAGCATGTATATTTTAATGGCTCATCCTGTACATGACCCTCGAAGTACCTGAAATTATACCAAAGAAGTTGAAGCTCGTCTTGCTTTGGATCAAGTGGGGCACTTCATGTGGATTACGCGAGTATAAAACCGGCGAGCGGACAGACACATGCCTTCTGTGTTGCAATAACAGTATATATTTATTTTTATTTTATTTTACTTTCATTTTCTGTCGAGTATCTGTGAGTACCGATCGATACTACCCAGTCCGACAATACATGCTCTCCATCGCTGTGTCACCTGTTTCAAATTATCGATTTAAAAAGAATCCGACGAATTAAATCTTTACTTATCGACTTTTAACTGTGATTTAAATCAAACAAAATGCGGTTTTTGAGTGGTTTCCAATCGCGAGTATGATAAGTGGTAATTTAAGGCGGTTCGCGTCTTGACAAATTGTGAGTGGCCGTTGACTGCAGTGTGGAACACCAGGTAAACGGTCAACGTTTTTTAAAGAATCCATTGGACTGCAATTGAGACTACAAAAATCAATTAATTTCAGGTAATATACATATTATTGTTTTTCCTTATTGATTTAGACCACCTTCGTAGTATAGTATGCTAAATGAATAATCTGTGCACAAGTATAATCTTAGGTGAATTAAATAACCATGTCAACGAATCGCTTATTAGTTATTACACAATACACTAGTATAATTATAATAAATGCAGTTTTCGGATCATTGATTACACGATATTAGTAAGGTTTTTCTCCAGAATGTTTTAGATATATTACTTTAATAAAATCCAAAAAGAAGAAATTGCGATTTAAATCGACTAATCAGAATTAACCTAATTTATTAAAATCTTAAGACATTGGTTATGCTACCGACTATACCTAAAATAAACTTATTAAATTTCAAGCCTAAAAACGTTTGTGACTTGTTGTAGACTACTATGAGTCCAGATGATCAAAAACAAAAAATAACTAAATAATAATAAATCTCTTAAAGAGAACCACAATTTTGAACTGTACTTATTATTAATAAAATTGCATCAACAATATCCAATAAAATTCACCGTATCGGGTAAATTTGTAACAAACCTGTTTTAATCATATGAAATGTAATTCAATATCGTTATCGTATCTGCGTCGGTATCAAAAAATTGTGTGGTTAATTTGGGTGTCACTCGTGTAAATCTAAAAATGCATCAAATTTATTTGCAATGCATGACGAAATGTCACATAAAGTTTACCATGAAAACGTTTTGTGTTGTCTACCTGTCTAATGAGTGAAAGGCGAACAAAGCAGTTACGTATTTACAGGGGGTCAATGGGGTCCGAACCCTCATGATCATAAAACCGTACAGACGGGAGTAGTGAAGGGATGATTATCCCCACTACACTACGTTTTAAAAAAATATTTGGATCTCCATACAAATATTAAATTACATACCAAATTTTTAAACACGCCACAGGAACGAAGAGATTGTCACAGTCAAGTATTAAAAAATGACTGTAATAATACAGTATACAACTTAGTATAGGTTTTAGACAAAATTTGATAAAAACAAGAATGTATTGTACGTTTACACGATTTATATTAATACATTTTCTATCCAACTTAAAAACGATACCAAACAATTTTAACCTTCTATAATAACACTATAAATTATTATAGTTAGTAATTCTGTTTGTTCACTATCCATGTTCAAAAACAAACATTTTAAGTCTAAATGGCATACAAAACTAAACGTAAATTTTTACCTAGTTCTAGTGTAGTGTTGATTTTAATTATATTTACTTGGTTAAAATTATACTAGTATATAGCCTAAAAAAAATGACTAGCAACTTTCTCATTTTGAAAATATTGGCTACAGTTATACTTGTACTTGGACACAAATTAATCCAGACCAAGAGACTTGACATTTTTGTTATAACTTTTTATGTTTCTTGTTTTGAAGTAGATTAATGTTCAACAATAAGTATTCATTAAACGGTCCGGTGTAGTTGACAAAAATAAAAAATATTCAAATCGATCCATAAATACCTAACATTTTATGACATTGGTCATAATTAAAACACAACATCAAATTTTTTTTGTGTGTGTACCATTGAAACCAAAAGTTTTACCTATAAGAATTAATTTTATGGAGAAGCCTTTATTAAACACTTACAATATATTTCAATGAGCTTGAGCTTATACATACAAAGTATGCATAAATATTACATATTGTTTTTACATAAAAATTTATTTATTACGTACCACGTATTTTTAATTGTAAAAAAAAAGAAATATTAAATGACAATTTTTTTTCTTGTAATACATATATACATTTTTTTTAATCCCTTATACATATTACGGTTTTAAACTTTATTTTTCAAATGGTCACATAAATAATTAACTAGTTCCTTTGATAGATAATATTCTAGTCAACAAAATAACTAATCCATAACAACTATGACCAGTATTTCGAATGTTATTCACATTTTAAAGTGAACGCAAGCGTTATTGTTTATATCATTATTTATTTTTCAGGCATACTCTTCTTTTCCTAAAGTGCAAAAATTTCAATTACTTCCGAAACACTGGTCTAAAAGTAGTTGTCGACAAGTTATTTTCTTAATTAGATAATAAATTATCATTTAATTCAGTAGAAGTCCGATAATCCGGCATCCAACAGTAGAACAGTAGAATTCAGTAGAACAAACTTTTTTGTATTTGCATACTGTATTTTGAGTTTAATTATTAACGTAATTGTTCTTATAGCAAAGCCTACACTAAATAGAAAGAGCACCGCCCGATAGATCGGCACGGAGCCCGTCCCGAACGTGCCGGATTATCGGAATTCTACTGTGGATAATTTTGTTATCTTATAAGATCCCATCTGAAAAAATAAAATTGACACCTTTACGAGTATAAGGGTAAACGTAAAAATACTTTATGATTTATAAATTAAAAAAACATGTACCGAAGAAACCAAAAAAAAATTCTCAATATTATTTTTATTTATTGAATAATTAAGAGATTCATGATAAATATTTTTTTTATATTCAATTATGTTATTTATTGTATTGTAACTGTACTATGAGTGATATACTACATAAATAAATGTAGTACAAATCTTAAAAAGTCAAATAACTATTTTTACTATAATAGTACAGATGTAACAAAATAATAAATTATATCATTGTATGTACGGTTGTACAGTGAATTAATGATACAAAATTGTTATATTATATTACAACAAATTTAAGAAGGAGAAATAGAGATTTCTTTAATACTTTCTATATTATCTATTTACAGAAGCCAGTATTTATTTTATATGACTATTAAAGATCTAATAAAGATGCCAATCGAAACAATTTTTTTTGCTTATTATTTTGATAGGGGAATTTTTTAAGGAATTGAGACTTCCCTCGAAAAAACATCTTGACACGTCCCTGAATAGACTAACCCCAATTATGTAAAATAAAATAACTAGTGTAATTATAAGCTAAACAAAAAATCTTTGTATTATTCTAAGAATATTCTTGTAACGCAAAATAGACATTTTTGAAATTTTTGAATTAATATTATTATAGGAACAATATAATAATGATAATATAATAAAATAATATATTATATTTTTATTGTCCTTGAAACCGTATCTTATGGTATTCGTGTATTACTTTACATATCAATTCATAAAACTTCTTACAATATCGAACATTTTATAATAAATATTTAAAAAAGGTTTAATAAATAAACTTCAATCATAATTTTATGAATAAAAATATATATTTAGTATAATTCATTAAGAATACTACCCCTCAATTTTTCACTAAATAATGATTTTTTCTGAAAAATTAAAAAATTTTTATTTAGGATTTATTTTTATGAACCATAATAAAGGTTTAGTGTAAGAAAAAATTATTTATAAGAGTAGATTTTTGGGGTATCTTTCTATAATTATATAGAAACCTATTTTTCCTATTAAATAGATCTAAATAAAATATTGACTTGCCAAAAACAGTTTTGTAACATTATTTTTGAAGATATTAGCACTTATAGATTTAGGAAAGGCAAAAAGAGGAGCAGTGTTTAGAGACGTTCTATTTTTACCTTAATGTCAGATAAAAATTCTACGTTGCATACCCCTCTCTTTTAATACTAAAAATTATAATTACCCATAAAGCAATAGAATGATACAATGTTGTTATGAACAAAATCATATCAGACTTTAGAAACATGTTTAATATCACTTATTAACAGTTTAATGATGGTTCTATCTTTATTACATTTATAGAAAGCTTTATTTTTTCTTTTTACCATGTATAAAAGATAATGTATTAGAATTTGTAAAATATACATACTCTAATTAATTGACCTACAAAACTATTTAAATGTAGGCTTTAATAACTGTGATTCGAGATTATTTATTTAATGAAATAATTAATGAATTGCTATTGAAAAGTTATTGATTAATGTCTATAGTAGTGCTTCTAGCATGATGTTTAAAAAGTTTAATTATTTCCGCAATAAAACGAAGGTCGTCAAATGTGCACTCAAATATTGTTTCTTAATCGCAGGTTCAATTAATAATGAGTGCGGCGTAATACTTTTGAAAAACCAAACTCATTAGAGCGTAGTAAATCAATTTTCAATTGACCAGCAATGTCGAAATATCTTTCTAGTACAAAATCATTTCTATCTTATATGACATGCGTGTAAGTCTAATAAATACATCAACTTACAAAAGAAATATTATTCAGTTTTCATTTTTGAAATGATTAAATTCAACAGAAATATAACAACACAAATTGGATACTTATTTAATAAACTCCCATATAATGGAATATTTATCAATATTATAATCTTGATGACACCATGAAATCACACTGCTATATTTAATTACGCTATTGATAGGTACCCTGACCTATTAATTGGTATACAACAGTAATGTTATAATATCATTAAATACTGAATATGGATATAAAGACTAATATCTGTTTTTTAATTCAACTATGGCACTACGGGATATCTTCTGTAACGTCTTCCCCTGCCCGCGAACGACCTTTACGCAATGGTGAACATTGCAAGTTCTGCGGGATTTTCTACAATTAACTAAAAATAATACATCAACAAGATAAGTGTACAATAATTACTGTCGCACATCATCCTACCGGACAAACCCACGATGAACTCGACCGTATACGACCAGCAATTATAACGTACGATGACAAAAATATTGTTGTTCAATTGAAAAATACATTTTTCTAAGGCAATTATTATCGTATTATTTATTTTTTAAAAAATTGACTAATTATTCTGTTAATCTTGCACTTATCTGTAAGCGAAAATGGTAAATTTTATATTTAACAACTAAAAGAATTAATTAACATCTAAAAGAATGAGCCAAAGAATAATAGGAAAAACCTTTTCATTCGTCATTAATGTACATAGCATTTTATTCTTTTAAATATTTTTATAGTAATACAATGCTAAAGTATCGTTTCATATCCTTTCAATAAATTATTAAAATAAACAGAACTACTACATTGGTATTTGTAACTTAATTTATTTGTTTGGTTCACTAAATCACAAATATAATTTGTACGTTGATTTTTCTTTTTGATTATAATAAAAATTCATTAAAATTATAATATTTCCGAGTTAGAGTTATATATTGTGTTTCAAAATTAAGTCGTAAATTTATCTTGAATTTAGCGTTTTTAACTATAGAACACAATGAACTATAAACGCTTTTGTCTAATCAATCCATTTAAGATGAATGAAAAAAATGAAAAGTGTTCACTTTTCTTCAGTGAAGTATTTATACTAGTTTATTCAATCTCATTCTTCATATTGGGTTTTATATTGTATAGACCTTAGAACATCTCAATGGTTTTATCGATGAATGTTTTAGAAAAAATATTACCCTTTACACTTAAAGGGTAATATTTTACATAATATTTTGTGCATAACCGCACAAAATGTATCAGTAATTATACAATTATTCAAGTATTGACATAAAAGTAAAATTATTCAAAAATCACTTATTAATGAAAATATGTCAAAGTTTTTGAAAACTCGTTTTAACTAAATTATACGATTATAATTACAGTATTCTGAATACATTGACAATTATTGTATAATTGACACAATTAATGCTTTTTTGTTAATCGAGTTATTAACACAGAAATACTTCTAGTTACAAGAAAAATGTCAGCGAAATTAAAAATATATATATCACGCTTTTTTCAGAATTAATGAATAAAATTTTTCAAATTCTTACCAAAAATAAAATTTGTGGTATTTTCTATTTTTAATCATACATTTAAAACAAAAAATATCAATATTAAATGTTCTTTAAAATACACTGCATATCATCATTAACTTTAATTTTACTAAATGGAATCATTATCTGATTAAATTTTTTAATTTTTCTTATGTTATGGATTTATATGTACTTTGATTTAAAAAAATGTTATATGTTATCTTAATTAATGTATATTACTATAGAAGATGATCGGTTTATCATAAAAACACTCGTTTGCCTATAAAATAAAAACAAAATTGAAAAAAAAAATTGGTTTCTTTTAATTACATATATCATATTTTTTTGATTTATAAGTTGTAATTCCTTTAAAAATCATCCCTCATTACTAATCGGAGTGTTACCTTATTTTTTTTTAATGGTAACATATTTTAACTAGTAACCTATAAAATTAGAAATTATTTGATTAAGAAAATTATTGTTTATTAATAACTTTATAACCAGTACTTTGAAAATTAATAACATTTTTTAACATTGACAGAAGAAGTGCGGTCGATGAATGTTTTATGAAACATGTCTCTCTCTAGACTATATTTTAAATTCTGAAGTAATATTATAACCAATAATAAATTCATCTAACATTCATATTATATTTTCAAATTTAAAATATAATGTTTATTTGTGTACAATTACATTTTAGCTTTATTTTTTTTGAGAAATTTCCAATGCGCAATTCAATTTCAATATTTCAATCGTTCATTTTATCCGAATGTGTAGGTTAGGTGTATTATAATTATACTTGACAAAAATAGTGACCTTAAAAATACGGATATAATTTTAAATGATGGTATATGACTGAAATTTTGAGTTATTTCTACAATTAAAAATGAGCTGTAAAGATATCTGTTAAGATTTTAAAATAATTATTAGCAATTAATTCAATTGTGGGAAACGATAATTGTAAACCATAAATACATTTTCTCACCTAAGATTATAACCCAGACCTTGTTATCACCTAAACCTTGGGATGTTCTGAAAATGTTGATTAGTTATCATTTCTGGTTGAATTAAAAATTATCAATAATCTTTATAATTATTATTATTTTCTTTCTTTCAGAATACGAATGAAAGATGGCGTCGACTTTGGTAAATATGGCCATCGACCGTTATTTCAGCATCGTAGACTCAATAAGCGGTAACTATTAAAAAAATTTTTAATAATTACACGTTTATTAAGCATTTTTTAATTTCAGATCCCAGAGTGAAAGAGTGGCCATTAATGGATAGTCCAATTCCTACATTTCTAATGGTCATCACATATTTGTATATTGTCACTTATTTAGGACCTAAAGTAATGGCAAACCGAAAACCATTCAAATTAAACAATGTTTTAGTTCTTTATAACGCCGGTCAAGTGATATTCAGTCTTGGCATGCTGTGGGAGGTACAATATGATTTATACAATTTTAAATTAAGAAACTTCTATTAATAAGATATCATATTAGATTTTTTTTATTAATTATTGTTGTCAATCATGGCTTGAAATCGATTACGACACATAAACAAGTTTTGAATCTTGCCAATAAAGTATTCATATTGAATTGAGTGGCACTGGGTCATCGAGTCTTCTCCTAGGCAATTAATTTTTGCAGATATGTTATATTATGAGGACGTAATAAATAATATTGCCATATTGAATAACTTTATGCGTGTTAATTTATTCCACAAATCAACCAGAAACGTCTCAAAAACGAGTATTTTTACACAAGTATGAATCATTAATATTACACTATCGGCCAGATTTCAGTGACCCATTTGGGTAAAATCAACGAGGAAGAATTTAAATAGTACCTTAAGTAATTTTTATAAAAGTGACTGAGAATACTTCTGACCTTGACCCATTTTTACAATATTTTATGAATTGTGTCTAATTTTAAAAACTTCTTTTCCACTTTGTTATATAAATCGTTATTCGAATAGCATAATCAATACATCGCTATTTAATAGAATCTTCTTGCAAGACACTTTTTTTTTTTTTACTTGAGTATGATTTTTAACACTATCGAGTTTTGTATTTTATTATTATCTATTGACTATATGCTTACCTAGAAGAACGAGTGTCCAGCGGGGATGATGTAACCAGCTATCCGGGCAATGAACGACCCTCTCCGACTTCCCGCCAGCCCGACGCGGTATGTCGTAATTAATAACTCATACGGGACCCAGCCCCGGTCAGCGTTCTTTTTTGTTCCATTACTTCTTTTCTTGTTTTCGCTCTTCAAATACTTACTTTCACTTAACGACGGCACCAGGTCATCGCATCGGGGTCATGATCATTGCTTACTTGCACCACGTGTTCTGGTTGTCTAGGTGGGGTCCTTTATACAGCGGATGTTCGCAGAGTTATGTGACCCCTACTCTATTTTTGCATTTAATACAACTTGCATTCAATTATATCAGTCTCGACACCTTTGGGGTCACGGCAGCTTTGAATAATAATATAAATTAGATGATTTGAATAATTATAAAAAATATATAATTAGCTCATAAAAATTAACGAATCAATTATAAAGTAATAATAGAATTAAAACGTAATAATTATATAAAATTATTTTCTAATTAAGGCGTTTAATGTTTTAAACGAAACATATTCATTTTAAAAGATTCAATTTTAATCTAGTGCAAAATGCATACAAAATTACTAAATTTATAATTGACTTTTAACGAAATATAAGATTGTTCTCTATGTAATATTTTTCTTTTGTCCTCGATGTTGGACCTTCTTCATTTGCCTGTTAAACTTTTAGTACTACAACCTTGTTATTGGATGTTTTCTAAAGAAATCATTGTGAATTAGAGATGCTTATCAATAGATCATCTAGTGATAGCCTGTGTATTTGAGCATATGACCTATAAACAAATACCTAGTTTTTGGAAACTGACTTCATTGTATTTTAAAATACTCAACATATTCTATCACATTTTTTTCTTTAAAATTTTACTTTAACCAGTGACAGATCCAGGGGAAGGGACAATGAGCACGTGTCCTCCCCTCTTCTTGGACTATCATTGCTTACTTAAAATATTATTTTAGAGTCTAAAAAACTTTCTTGGCATCCCTTAACAAAACAATTCTGGATCTGACCCTGACTGACTATAAGTTAATTTTTATTGTAGTAATGTATTGTACATAGCTCGTAATTTTTTTATTTTTGTCGTACGTAAAAACTTGAATTTAAATCATAATAAATTACAACTTTTTAGACCCTTTAATTCAATTTTGCCGTGTCTAAAGAATACAATTAACATTTGTATGATATAAAAATTCACTTTTATTTAACGAATATATCGATAAAATATATTTAACATATTACTTCAGTCAATTGCATAATTTTGACGGTACATTGAGTTTTCCACAGTTTGGTACCTTTACAAAATAGTATAATAATACTATAAACCTCCCCACTCTCTCTCTCACTGGTTACTTCGTAGGTTTATTTCATCAATGAGGCTTAGTCAATAACAAACCACAGTGTGTTTTTATCATTGAGAAACGATATAAAAATACAAAAAATTCAACCTAACAAAACACAAGTTGTTTCATATGCTTAGAAATTATGGTACAAAAAAGGGTTTTCATATTATTAAAAAAATATAAAAATATGGTATCTTTCTATTGTTTTAAAATATTCAAAAAATGTCTGCATATATAATGGTATACAGTGGCACAGATGCATTGCAATTATTATTTTTTATTTCAGCACTTGATGAGTGGTTGGTTTATGGACTATAGTTATCAGTGTCAACCAGTTGATTATTCATACAACCCCACAGCATTAAGAGTATGTAACATGGTTAAATTTTATTAAATCAATTATATAAGTGGCATACAATAAATACAATTTCCTAATAATTCTACAAGATTATTTAAGTTAAGCTCACCACTATTCGGAAATATTAACTTTTAATTATATAAACAACAATTATATACCCACCCTTATTGTAACAGTGATAAAATTATAATCTTGTTGTAATTAGAAATTTTCAAACTTATTAATACTAACGTTTTTAATTATACAAGGTCATACTTAACTAATTACGTCAATAACTTTGAATCCAATTATAATTTCAATCATTTTTTTTTTTTTTTATAATTATTGCCTCCTTGGTCTTTATGCAAAGCATTTTATTTTTTATTATTCTTTATCATTTATAAGAAAAAAATTAAAGTTAAAAAATTTTCTACTTCCATAAGTTCAAATTTTCAAAATAGCCATTTTTTGATGATATTTTTGCAAAAAAAATTTATTGGTCGATAAAAATAATAGAATAAATACTTATTGAGTTACAAACATTTTACTTAGAATGGATATGTAATACGAGAACGTACCAATAAAAACCCTTTTCTTACTTACTGCNGTATTGGTCGATAAAAATAATAGAATAAATTATTATAACTTATTGAGTTACAAACATTTTACTTAGAATGGATATGTAATACGAGAACGTACCAATAAAAACCCTTTTCTTACTTACTGCACACCCAATATAATATACATAGCAAATTCTGTAGTTATTTTCAAAAATATAATTTATCATAAAAATAGATTCTCTAGCATTTTTTTAATATGTGTAAACAAAGGATTCTTCTGACTCGTTCTAAAAAATGAGTTTTTTTTAGAATACTTTTTTTTTGCAATTCAAATATGTTTACCATAAAAAATCATAGATATTTTCAATTTTTGTTTTCCTAAATTTTGATAAATGGACATGTTAGCTTTTGAAAAGTAGTCACAGTGGTATAAAATCTATTTAAATATTATTCCTTTCTTCTTTTAAATGTTTAACAAACCATTGCATTTTTTTTATAAAACTGATTTTAGATGGCTAATTTGTGTTGGTGGTATTATATATCGAAGCTCACAGAATTCATTGACACGGTAATTATTTCATTCGACATGTTTAAACTAAGCAATTAATGAACTACTACTATTAATAATTTACAGGTATTTTTCGTACTGAGAAAAAAGGATAATCAAATAAGCTTTCTTCATTTGTACCATCATTCACTAACTCCTCTTGAGACATGGTTTTGCGTCAAATTTCTTGCCGGTAAAACATTAAATACTTCTAATATTATAGGCTTCCACAATATGATATATTGTACCAAAATCTCGGGTTTAAGTTATAGATCGTATTCTCAAAATATAAAATTTACTTGACAATAACATACGTGACATACAAGAAAGGATTCTTTTTTAGATAAATCTTCTCTCTTCCAAAGTTAGTTAAGCTTCAGTGTTGGACATTTCTCTGGGTTCAAATTATATCAGAAATTCGAATAACGAATATTGCGAATAAAAAAGTATTTTACGCAAATAATATCCGAAAACACGACACTGGAATTAAACTTGGTGAAAAAAAAACAATTTCTCCGAGAGAGTACTGAGACATATACATATTAAACAGACTACGTTTTTATAAAATATTTTATTCAAAAATAGAATTGAAAAATGATTTTACTAATTTAATTATTTGTCATTTTTTTACTTGCTAATGACCGTCTATTTCATTATAAAATAAATGATATTTTATAGGTGGACACGGCACTTTTTCTAATTTAATAAATAACATGGTTCACGTAATAATGTATTTCTATTATATGATGTCCGCAATGGGCCCTCAATATCAAAAGTATTTATGGTGGAAAAAACATTTGACAACAATTCAATTGGTAAATATTTTAATGGATAATCGAAAATTAATTTTATTCGTATGTTAATTGTGATATCTTCTTTCAGCTACAATTTACTCTGGTGTTCTTCCATTCGGCCCAAGTACTGATATATGACTGTGGATATCCCAAACTAGTAGCTACTTTTCTGTTAGCACATTCAGTTATTTTCTTTGTTTTATTCTTTGACTTCTATCAACAAGCTTACAAAAAAGATAAACAAATAAAAGCCAAAGAGCAATAATATATTTTTCAAACGTCTACCAATAAAATGGAGATAAATTATGACCAAATCAAGTATTAATGATATAAGACATAAATTATACATGTCCATTTATAAATATATATATATTTAAATATGTAATTCATAAATTATAAACTACTGGATAGTCATGAAATAGTCCTTTACAAAAAGTCATGACTCTCTAGTTTAAATACATATTAATAAATTTATGTATTTTATGTTTGTAAATTTTACCTATTTAAGTTGTTCCAAAATGTATATATACATTTTATAAATCTTATTCTATAGAATAAGAAATAATTATACATTAAATCCCAAAAGCTACGCGTGGCAATTACTTTCTTTCATCAATATACTGTGGTATGATATTTATGATCAACGAATGTTAAATGCCAAGATGTTTTATGCAACAAAATTACTTATCTAATTAATATTCAATTAAAATGACAGAAAAACTCTATTAACTGTAGTTGAACTGAATAGCTATTCAATAAATTGTCAATTTTATGTTTAATTTTCAATATGGAATAATTGACTTTTATATATTTTGATTAATGTTTTACATTTTATCTGTAAAGGTCTATACATTAAACAAATTGCATAGAACGACTTATCTAAAAGGCTTTATTTTGAACTGTGTACTTTTACATATAATAATAAAACAATTATTTGTGTAACATATTAATATTACCTATGTGTATGACTACTATATGCTCATTTAATTAGATTTTAAGTTGTACATAAAAATATTGTAAACTACACATTGTCATGTATTTTGTTCATTCATATATTTAAACACGTACAAATAGATATTAATGACATTAAACATATGATGTAATGAGACTTTAAAGATAATTTCATTGGCAATATTATATTTTATTTAATAAAATACAACATTTTGAATTGAAATGTTATAATTAATTTACAAAAAAATATTCTAGCTACCGCACATGTGTTAGCAAAATTAAGGAAATTAAGTAGGCAACTCATCCTATTCATTCAACTAATATATGTACACATTTGAATTAAAATATTTCAAGAAAATACTTATAATTTCATTGTGCGCGCAAAAAAAAACTGTTTGATGAAGGGATCAAAATATTGGGCTTTCACATAAGTTTCATGGAATAACTTGTAGGGCATACCTTTTACCCTAATAACTATAAGCAGGGTTGATTACTTTAATTATATCAAGAGTTGATATTATTCTTACAATACATTTTTACGATGTAAAAATCAAACTAAACAATATATTTATAATGTAAACAAATTTAATGTGTTAAATTTTGTATAAAAATTCTTATAAAAAATATTAAAGTTAAATATTATGAATTATCCAGTAGCATTCATAAAATATTTATTTCAACGTGCAGTAGCCCTTTTTTATACTTGATAAAAATAATTCTGTATTATTTAGTTAAAGGGTTGCTCTGGGCCGGAATAAATTAAGAGGGCCTATCTACCCTGGCGGCTATCCCTCTGGGTGCGTACTTATGAAATAATTTCATATTTATTTTATAATTTGAGTTTGGAAAAATTTACTCGATCAAAGTTTTATATTGTTATACTTTTTAGCAATTACTAGTGTGATTGAAATTATATTATAATCATTTATATAAAACTACTTTAGTAGTTTATTTACACAGGACGTTACTTGACTAAAAGTAATTAATAATTTACCCTAACATTTTTTTACAACTTCATAAAATATTTTCATATAATATAAATAATAGAAACATTTATTTTTTTTACAGAAATATAGTTATAATTTTAAATTTTGATTGTAAAAAGTATAAAATTTTATAACTCCACCCTACTACTATTAACAGTTAATTTAAAATAAATAAAAAATTACTATAATTTTAAATAATTCAACTAGTATAGCATATTTTAAATTAAGAATTATAATTCAAATCTTTACTTAAGTGTATAATTATTATTATTTTTTAAATGTTCAATCATTAATTCACGGAGTTTGAATTTTTGAATTTTTCCTGACAAAGTCTTTGGAAAGTCATCAACAATTATGATGTGATATGGAACTTTAAACCTTGCTATCTAAAAAAAAAATAATTTTATTGAGTATTTTCACATTATACCAGCTTTTGGGAATGAAAAATAAAAATACTACTTACATTTCCATTGCAAAAATTTTTTATATCATTTTCATTTAATTCAGAGTTCTTAACAACTTTAACAGCTGCACATACAACTTCACCGAGCCTTTCATCTGGGATTCCAAAAACCTTAAATGTAATAAAATTAATAACAAATGGGGTCTATATGATTATTAACTCAGTTATAAACCTGTGCTTGAATAATTTCCGAGTGAGTTTCTAAAAAATATTCAATTGAACGAGGTTGAATATTTTCTCCACCTCGGATGATGATGTCTTTTATTCTGCCACTCACTACTCCATATCCGTCTTCGTATAATACTAAAATGTCTCTAAAATTAAAAATAACTACAATTTAAATTTTAAATTTAATAAATATTTGTTGATATCAAAAATAGGCTAACCCATTTTTCGCTTATTCAGAGCTACTTTTATCAGAGTTGATTGAGAGTAATATATATAAATGTATATAGTGTGATATTTCAAATATTTCATTTAAACCTCGTTAGTGGTCGATTTTTTAACATTTTGATGCAAAGCTAAAAAAGTTTTGATTGTACTATATCGCGTTTTTTGTGACTTTTTTGTTTTTTTTTTTCATATAATGGCTATAATTGTATTACTAAATATTTACGATGAAATCATGTGCAATAAAAAAAAATTCAATTGTATTGTGTTCATTATTTTTAAATGAAATATTTTGATAACATTATACAATCTAAGTCAATTCAATGACGGAAAATATTACAGCGGCAGGCAATTCTGTTCTGAATAATTTCGAGTTACTTATATATATAATGAATTTTAATTAATAATTTTCTATGTCGTGTTATACTAAATATTTTGAACTAGTCTTATTGTAACCTAATAATACAAAGATTATAAAACAGATGATTTTTCACTAACCATTTTTTTAAATTAAATTTTTGTGTTTATATAGAATTTTTTATTTTTATTTAAGTTCATTCACTAAATATAGTGAAACGACTTTAATAAAATTCTCTGATGACTGCAATACTCACGTAAAACTTTGATGCGTAGAGTATTCTTTACATATGAATATGTTTTATATTTATATTTCACATTATTCACAAGATAATTTTATATGCGTTTAGTTATAATTAAACATTACATATTGTTTAATTATAGTTTTTGAATAGTTTATTTTATTTTTATTCGTTTTTTTAATAGTTTTATTAAAATACTAGATTATTTATAAAATTAAAATTAATTTTAAAAATGATACTAAAATAATTATGTAAAATAAAGGTATAAGATGGTCTAAGAAGTATTGAAAAATCTAATAACTTTTATTCCCTAAGTATTTTGTTTGTTTTTTTTTTAATGCCAAGAAAGCCATTGTTAAAAGTAGATTTTAAGATAAAAATTATTAGTAAAATCATCATTTTATGCTTTGTAGTTATAATATCTATAACACTTAAAATTATGTAAAATTTTAAATATTTTCATATTTATTTTATCGTGTCAAAGGCTATTCTAAGAAAATAATACATAGTATTATTACGTCCAATCCTACGTGAAAAAATAATAGAAGTAAAGCATACTTTCACATGAAGTACTAGTTACAATTATCGAATTTTCATGGAAAAAATTACATACCTAAATCCTAATAGTTAGTGCGAAACGATTGAATTTTCTTCAGTCTTCTTTTTAATGCATATTATAATATTGATACCATAAATTCAAATATCCACAAAATTTAATATACAGCAGAAAATTTACCACTGAACATTAACAAAAATTATTATCGTTTCAATTAAAGACGTTCATTCAAGCAATAATTGTATTCGTCAAAAAAATTCGGTATAAAAAACGAAAAAAACATTTTTTCAAATATATTCGAATTAATATAATCATGAATTCATTACTCACTAAGTCTAATCTATTCTAGTCACCTTTATTTAAGAATTCGCTATACCGAATCACGGACAATTCTAAGTTTTTTTTTATAAAATAACTTCCTATTTATATGTACCTGTACATACCCCGAACGAAGCCAACCGTCTTCTACAATAGCTTTTTTTGTCATTTCATCGTCGTTCCAATAACCTGGCATCACGTTGTAACCTTTAAACCAAACTTCACCGGGTGTACCCATTGGAACAATGGAACCATTTTTATCTACAACCTTAACCTAGAACCATATAATAGTTTAAATTAAATGTTCTGCGATACTATTGGCAAAAATAATAAAAATACTAAGTATTATTCTTAGCTTCGATGCGAAGCTGGTAAAGTATTAATTTTACCATGATGTATTTATTATTATTATTTTTTTTTTTTTGTGTATCACTACTTTTTCTCAACTATCACTGGACCGATTTTCCTCGTAAATGATGGAAAGCCTCCAAAAAATTACGATTTTTAAACTCGGTAAATTTCGACATTTTTTTCTAAAAATTGTCATGACTTTTAAAAGTTAAGTAATTCCCTTTTAATTTATATAATATTTTTGAAAATCTGACCCTTTACCTGCCCACCAGAGGGGATTCAAAATAGCAACTTTTTTTACAAAATTCCACTTTTTCAACTTAACTTTTGAAAATGTTCCGGAAAAACTGCGTCCTTGAAACNGGGGGGTATCAAAATAGCAACTTTTTTTACAAAATTCCACTTTTTCAACTTAACTTTTGAAAATGTTCCGGAAAAACTGCGTCCTTGAAACATTTGTCAAGTTAAAGCTTATGTTACGTACAATAAATTCGAAAAAAAATTTGTCCCGGCGACTTTTATCTTCTATGTGCGAATGGTTTCCGTACTTAAAAAACATGCTATTTTGGTGTTCAAATTTAATTTTTGTTTGTTTATTTTAAAATACCTTATAAGAGTTTACCATAGTAATGAGACCACCAATAAATATAAAATTTACATGAATTTAACTTACAATAAATATAAATTTATAATTATTTTGCCTCTTCAAAATTAAGAAAAGCTTTTTTAAATTTTTGAAAACTTGAAAATTTGTATAAAAAGTAGAACTTTTTAAAATTAACTTTTGAAAATGTTCCGGAAATACTGCGTCTCTTTATATATGTTAAAATAAAGCTTATTTTGTATATTAAAAATTCGAATGAAAAAAATTTGTACCGATGACCTATTTTCTATGTGCGAATGGCAGTCGATATAGAACACAAAATAGGAGTTAATTTTTCTTTTAGAATAATCCACCAATTTCTTAAAATTAAACATTATCTATTGATTTGCATTGAAGCGTTTCTTATGATAGTAATTTTAATCACTATCAGATATTATCTATACTTGTCCCACTATGCCACGACTCCACTATGCTATCGTTTTTCATCTAACTATATAATAATTTGATAAGTGTGCAAAATCTATTTTTTCGAAAATTATGCTTATAAAACAAAAAAACATAAAACTTTAAGTAACTGTGATCTAGAGTACCGGTCTTAGGTTTTGAAGAGCTTCTGTATCAGGAAGGAGGGACTGAAGTGGAGTAGATATCTTAGTTAATATAATGAAATGGTAAAGGTATGACACTGTAGAACTTGAATTTTACAACGGTTTTGTGACGGCATTACTTGACTCACAAGCGCAAAAGTCATGTACCACTCCGGCAATAGTCCATAAATACGGAATTGTGCGCAAAGGACCCACACACGCGGTTAGACTAGCAGACGGCCACACGACACCAACCGCCGGCACCGCTACTTTTACCGTGAACATCGCAGATCTGACAATCACTTTTACGGCTGTTATCTTAGAGAATCTGTACTGTGACGTACTCCTGGAACACGACTTTCTAACAGAACAGGAAGTCTCCTGGGACTACGCTGCAGGTACAATTCACTTGGGCGTGACGCGACGCACTACAGCTTGTTGGAAACCGAGTACTCGGCACACACTACCCGATGTAGGTCTATCAACACTAGATATAGCAGGTGACCCACACACGCGCGAATTATAATCACAGATAATGAAATACTGCGCTACGGCTTTAATGACACGGTGGGACGCACAACGCTCATTGAACACGCATCACTCACTTTACTAGTGCCAGCCCGAGAACAGAGACTGACGCCGCCACACTTAGTATCAAACATGGAGGAGACATCGTTTTAACAACAGTAGCAGCAGCAATAGTACAATAGTGGTGATAACAATAATCAGAGCGGCAACAACAACAATATTAGCAGCAACAACACAGTAGCGGTGAAACAGCGACCAGCGGAGAATCCCATGGAATTGGAATACACGCACTGACCCCTTAGATCACCCAACAAACAATGTGAGTTTTGCGGCCTTCACTGTGATACGCGGTTACCTTCCCGGCCGTCATTAAGTAGACCGGCAGTTTGGCGGGGGGGTATTTGACACGGCCCGCATCGCTTCGTTATACACGATGCCCCGCGACTCGTGCCACCTTTATCAGCCGTCGCCCTACTATGAGTATTTGACTGACCAACACCGCGTGTCATACGGTACGGTGCAAAGTCCAGCAAGTGCCGCACGGCCGACGACGACCCGCCGCAAATGAGACGGGAGTCTTCTTCCCGTTGTGAGAGAGACAACGTTGACCAACCGATCCGCACCCGCGCACCGACACCACCAACGCTGCTAACCTTTTGACGCCCGAGGATCACGCCGGACATTGCGTCGTCGACACCAGCAAAAGTGCCGCGATATTATGCGAAAATTATTATTATTGTGTTCATCTTTTCGGTTTGTTTTATTTTTTTGTTAAAATAACCTGCTGTTGCTCATTAATAAACGGCCCACGTGTCTTTACCCTCCAAACCAGCGTCGACCACATTTTTGCGACGTAAGTCGTGTCAGGTAATATTTATTTGTTTTGAAGGGTAGTAAAACGGTTATAATTACAACATTTATTACTAAAATTAATTTAAATTAATCATGAATTACATTATAATAATATTATAAGCAATTTTCTAAAAAGTTGTGTATGTCATTCATTCGTTTTCTTAAAATATCTCAAAAACACAGTTTTTAATAAGCCGACAGATAACCATCGGGTAACGATTCCACACCTATTATAAACACAGCACTTTACTCCCACCAAAAAAACCCTTTTCATGCCTAAATGACGATGATCGCACCCTTGGGCAAACAATGATCAAAACTTAATTATCGAGTTTTTATCAGAGTAGTACAGATTAATATCGAAGACCTGATTAAAGCTAAGGGCACATATTTAGAAAGAATATCTAAAGAACACAAAGCGAATATACTCTACTTACAAAGAACACATATAACAGACGGCGTGCCTCTTGACAAACGAAATATACAAGGCTTTCAATTCGCATGGTTTGATGTTTACCCGAAGTACGTAATAACAATTTACCTACGTGAAGATATTTGACCTCATGCTATTATACCACCATCAAAAATCATAAGTCCCTTGCATATACCTAAAGCCATCAGTGGCCTCAAGTGACTATAATAGCCACAACACAATCCGGGGTTATACAAAAATAGATGATGCTGATGAAGCATTAGAGGAATAGATTGGATCTTAAGATTTAAAAAGCCTAAACATATTTTAGTCGGCAAAATGCACCTTACTTTAGTGTTACTGGACACTGATGGCTTGCTGTATTTAGCTGATAGAACTATTGTTGATAATTATATTAATTATAATAGTAATATAAGTTGAACCCTAATAAAAAAATTTAAATAGATAATTAAAAAATTATTTTGTAACATTTAACATTTCAGTCTTTTTATAAAATGGTAATAATTTAATATAACAATTTTACATACAACAAATGTTTGAAAAAAATTTGTTTTACCTCGCAATGATCGAGTACTTGACCGACAGTCGTACACATTTGTTCTTCTGTTTCATTAGGATTAGAAAGAAAAACAATAGGACTGGCTTCTGTCATTCCATAAAGTGACTAGAAATCGAATAATAACATTTTATAAAAATTTTACATTTTCAAAATAGGAAAATGGCAATAGACAATTTATATAATTCTTTATTACATCAATATATTTTGCTATGTTTCATACAAAACATTTACGTGCAAATAGCCGATTGACAATTAACTAGTAATAAAACGTTAAATATAAGTTTTTAATTTGGCATTAACACATATAATTATAATATATTATGATAACTTTTTTTAATAAAAAACAGGATTATTTTTTAGTAATTTTTGAATAATAAAATAAATATACGTACAACTAAACGTTTTAGGTTAAATGTTTTTTTGATTTCCTTAAATAAATCGGGTGAACACAAAGCTCCCGCTGAAAGTGCCATTTCTGGTGTTTCAAACACAAATCCTTCTTTGATGAGTTCTTTGGATACAGAAAGTAAATCAACATACATTGTCGGTGTGCCGTACAAAAAAGTACACCTTAAATTTAATTTTAAATCAAACTTAAACATGAAGTAAAATTATTTCTTTAAATATAAAAAAAAACACATCAAATATTAATTGAAATTATTTCTTAATGCTAGTACATAAAAACAGTTTTTATATTTCATAGTAATAGTGGATCTATTGAGGACTTCAAGGTGTCGAACACTCCTTGGAGTCTATTCATAGTATCAAATAACAGTTAATGAGCTACAAAAAAAAAATCTTGATGATGTGTCGGCAATTGTATAGCACAATCTATGTAGAACAGTTATAGTATAACTGCTCAATTGCCGTTTTTTTAAGAAGGAAACAGTTTCGCACAAGTAATAATGGTCACGATATAAAATAAAAATTGACAATAAACGAAAGAGTCGAACAATTAAAATTGTGATCGATTTATGTAAAAACTGTAATCCAGCATAATTCTCTTGAACTCATTCGTCGAACAGTCAGCAATGTTGACATAATAAAAAAAAAACCAAAATCAAACGAAGATGCGGACGGTTCGGTTTTGCGAACATGACTTCAACGTATTTTGCGGATCGTCGTCGGCCGTGCGGTGCTTGCTGGACTTTGCACTGTAACGTAAGGAATGCGGTGTTGTTCAAATTATTATATACACGTAGTAGGGCGATGGCTGATAAGGTGACGCTTCGCGTGTGTGTCACGAAGCGACGCTGGACTGTGTCAATCTAAAGCCGCTTCCACACTATATCAACAGAGTCGATCGACATGATCGACTTTCAACTTGTCCACTATACATATGGACTAGTCGACTGACATAACTGTACCGACGCGTATATCGAATGTGTTTTACCAAAACACGCTTTATTATTTTCTAATTTTATAAGTATTATTATTATAAATATATTCAATTTTATTGATTATTATAAATTAAAATATTGTTTCCTTGGGCATCCTCTTGGTTTCTTCTCGGTTAATTTTTCTTCGAAGATGTTGATTATAAAGTCATTGTGCCGGATGATGTATACGATTAACTTTATATTTCTTGATTCAATCACTTTCATCAGCTATCTTTCATCTTGTACTTCTTCTAGCAATTGCTCATTTTTTTCTTGTCTAACCATTTTGTCTTTGTCATTTTTTCCATATCCATAACTCTAATGCTTCTAGTTTGCTTCTGTCTTTCTTATAAATTGTCCATGATTTACTGCCACATGAAAACACACTCCAGACAAATTTTTTTACGAATCTTTTACGTGTGCCAAAGCTCAGATGTTTATTAGCGAGAAGCTAATTATTGTTTTGGAATGCTTGCTTTCACAATGCTATTTTTCTTTTTATGTTTGGAGTTACTTTCTTATTGGTAGCTATAATACTTCCAAGGTGGCAGAATTCTCGGACTTGTTGTAATCGTGTATTGTTTATTTGTATATTAAGGTTTAGATCTGAGTGAATTTTACTTATAAGCATTGTTTTAGTTTTCATGAAATTTATTTTCAATTTAAATTTATTAAATGCATTTGATAGAATTTTTAGCATATTATTCATGTCATGTTCAGACTCTGCTAAGATAACAATGTCTATTCAGTGTAATTCTTCTATCAAGGATCTGTCTCAGTGCTAAAATGGCTTCTCTTGTTCCTCGCCCTTTCCTAAATCCAAACTGATCTTTCGATATATTTTGTTCTATGTTCTCTCTTAATCTGTTCTTGGTAATGTTTAGAAGTATTTTTGAAGTGCCAGAAAGGAACGCTATAGTTCTATAGTTACCACATTTTTGTTGCATTACTTTTCTTCGGAACTGTTATAATTTTACTTTTGACAAAATCTAGTGGTAGACTTTCACTTTTTAGCTATCTTAAATGATTTTAAACAATTGATATTTTGTCTTTTCTTCTATATTTTTCAGTAGTTCAGTCGAGATATCGTCAGTCTCTGTGGCTTTTTTGTCACTCAGTTCTCTTGGAGACTTTTCGAATTCACTTATCAATATTTCGGGTCCTTTTCTATTTTTATTTATATCTATTTCATATATTCCTCTAAATTTTTGATCTCCTCTTTTCTTTTTTTATATATTCTTTATATTAATTCTTCTATATACATTTTCCAACTCTCTACTACCTTTCCATTTTCAAACAGAATTTTGCCATATTTATCTTTAACTATGTTGCTGGGCGTCTTGGGTTTATATTGCATTCAATGTTAATCATTTATTATGTATGATTGCGCTAAAAATTGTAAAAAAAATCACAATTTCCATAAGTCCATCATACCTTTTGTTTTTATTTTTGTATTGTAAATTAGTTGGGTCTCACAAGAAACTTCATCACTATACATTTCAATAAAAGAAATTGTTTGTTCATCACTCCAATTCATCATGAATGAATGATAAACTTAAATTAATAAAACTAAAAATCAAATAAATGCACTCAGCAAAATAAAACTAAATAGAATGAAAATGTTTACATCAGTTTTTGTTAAATAGTATTAAGTTATGATAACAAAGTATACGATCAGCTGTAGCTAAAAAGTCGAGTCACATACTATGACACGTTCACATTACTGTTGTGGATTCGATTATCTTTGATCTTACCAACTTGATCGGGTTGCGTGCGACTCGACTTGACATGTTTCGACCAAGCCGAGAGACGTGTACACATTTTTTCGACTGTGTCGATCGACACCATTTGGAATAGTGTAGACACGGCTTAATAGATTGAAAAACTCAATTTTTTTCCCCATCAAATATAGAATTGTTTTATGTGGGTTTCTAGGTAAATAATCATTTTACATACTTTTAGAAAGATTACGGAATTTAAGTTATTAGCTTAGGTAACACATTAAACATCTCTTTATAAAACTACCGTATAGTGACAGAAGTGAATAACTCAAACGAAGATTGTAAATATAAGTAAATGTTTAAATAAATTTGTACCTAAAGTTCATCAACAATCACGATTATTTTTATGATGACAGTACGTACTAACTGACCGAAAAACAGAGAAATACTACCGGTGTATGAACACTGACTGAGAATACTACCCCCAAATGTGAAGTTACTACTACTGTAAACTTAAAATGAAATTACCGATTCTTACCTAAAAATACTTAGGTGCGCTCCAGTGTGTGTACAATGTACTCAGCTGCGTTATAGTAAATCTTTATAATTTTTTTAATATTATTCCTCTTTCATTAAATTGACAAAAAATATTTCTCATTGCGTTATTAATCCTGATATATTTTTTCTATATTTCTATATTCTTCCCTACATTTTGTTTTTTTTTATTTATAACTACTCTCTAATTAACTTTACTCTATAATATTCCATTAAGAAATCTTATCTACATTGAATTATTTAAATGCTAATAATATTTTAGTAATATTTTTTTCCATAAATTCCTAATTACAAAAATTATTATTAAAATATTATAATTAATATAATTAAGTATGTGACCCAATTACTAATATTTGGACAATTTTTAAGATTTATACCTATTATAATTTTTTTTTGTTAGATTATTAGAAGAAAAGGAAGTTACTCTTTTAAAAAATTGTGCTTTGAAGACATTGTTTGAACGTTCTTTTTTACAAAATAATTTAATCAACCTGCATTTTATTAACTTATTTGTTTATCAAAAAATAATATTTTACTATATATAGATATTTTACTTTTCATTTATTATGGCTTTTGCTGACTCTAAAGGCTTATATCCATACGTTGGTAATACTAATGTGCTTCCACTATTAAGACTTGTCATAATTCCAATTACTGTCCCAAATGTATGAAAAAATGGAACTTGAAGTAAAATTCNCTTTTGCTGACTCTAAAGGCTTATATCCATACGTTGGTAATACTAATGTGCTTCCACTATTAAGACTTGTCATAATTCCAATTACTGTCCCAAATGTATGAAAAAATGGAACTTGAAGTAAAATTCGATGTTCCTTAAATGATTTATGATACTATATTAATATTTTAAAAACTCATTTATATAACTTAATAGAAGTTATTAGATTAACACTAATAACAGTTAACAATAATTATTTAACCAATGTTTTAATTTATAAACTTCCTGTCAATATTCCAATATTTTTAAAGTATAAAAATTATTGATTACTTTAAAGATTTTATTAAAAATATAATTTAATATTGTCTATAGAATTTGTGGAAAAATAGTTGAAAATTGGTTCACAATGCATGATGATCATGTTCAAAACTGGGAGTAATTTAACACTATTTAAAAAAAAATTAATATTGAACATTTTTTTTTTAATTCTAAATTAAACTAAAAATATTAATAGTCAGTTAAATAAATATTTAGCTCAATTACTAAATATATAATAAAAATTGATCACTTGTGGCTAATTAATTAAATAAAATTAAAAATTTATTAAAAATATTATTAAAGTATCAATTACTAAAGTAAACAAAGAAAATTAATATTTAAATTTATAAAATGAATGTACCTTTTGATGTAATAATAGCCGTCTACATAAGAAATATGAATTATTGACAATATTATGATGTGTTAAACATGCTCCTTTTGAAGCACCAGTTGTTCCCTGAAATTTTATGAATAACCATATATTAATATAATTAAAGTTAAATGATTGAATTGCATAAGCTTAATTTAAACGTCGCTAAAATAAATTATGAAAATTTTGTTAATTAACTATAATAACAATCTTACAGAAGTAAATTGAATGTTGCAAATTTTATATGGGTTTAGCTTAAGGTTAATTTTTCTTAAATTGGCAATCGATTTTTCGGTAGCCGACTGACGTAAGTCACAGAACTTGATAACTCCACTAGAATAAAAAAAAAAATTAAGACTGTAAAATAAATTGTTTGAAAACTTACGGTAATTTTTCTTCTGTGTTCATCACAATAAAGTCCAAATTCGTTAAATGTCTAGAGGTTATGGGTTTTCCATGAGACTGTTGTTCGATTTCCGGAATCATATTTTTAAGTAGCTGATAATAATTTTGCTTTGGATTGTTTTCCAACATAATTAATATTTTTGCATCAACTTTTTCTAAACAGTGATGAAGTTCGTCTTTCATAAATAAAGGATTTATATTTACCTGTAAAATCAGTTATACAAAATTCAATTATTTGTTTTTTTAATTAATTAACACAGTAATTCTTACAGCTATCAAACCTGCTTTTATAGATGCTAATAGTGTAATTTCCCATTCAATGGAATTTGAGCCCATAAGACAAAGTCGATTTCCTGGCTTTAGGCCCATTTCCAAAAGACCAGCCGCTATTTTATCAATCTATGAATACATTTCAAACTAATATATTTCCGATTTATATAATTTCATATTGTCGTTATGGAAAAAATATACCTCATGTTTTAAATTGAAAAATGTTATTCTACGATTTTGATAAATTGATACAATAGCCTCTCTATTGGGGTAGTTTTCTGCCGCAAAATCAATCAAATTTCCAACAGTCATTTCTTTTAAGGGTTCATTTTGAACACCTTTATAATAACTAGGTTTTGACTTAAAACAACTGTTAATAAAAAAACAATATCATAAAAATGATGATACAGCATCTTCATTATACGTTAAAACAGTGCATGTGTTTTGTACAGTGCTAAAATTTAGAATAAACACTTAATACAGACTTAATGAATTGAAGCAGTTATATTCATTTCTCTGCGAAAACATAAAACTGTAATAGCTTTTTTCGTTAAAGAAAATTTTTGAATTTCTGAATTGAATATTTTTTTTAATTAAAACAATGACCTAAGTATATATGTTGAAAAATTAAAAAAAAAAAATTTGATTCATAATAAAATTGTATTTAAATGTTCTTAAGATTAATGGAAAAAAATGCAATAAAAATTTGTACATTCTTAGGTATTTTACTATTCACCCTGAAGTGATGCCTAACGGCAGTTCCAGGGCGGCCCACAAGTTGTGGGCCATAACAAAGTCGGTTGAAAAAAAAAATAGGTATTTCACTATCTTCTAGAACAATAAAACACTATGTTTGAATAATTTCCACTACTAATCCCACATTAATTGATTTCATCATTTAGACATTAAGTTGGAAATTTAAAACGCTCGAAGAACCGAAGTTTAGATATATAGTATTTTAAGTAAACGCATAGTAAGTGCGAATGGGTAAAGTGGAAAGAAGCGTCTGGTGTATTATACGGTAGGAGAATTTCAATGATACTGAAAGGTCAGTTCTACAAGACTGTAATGAGACCAGCTATGATGTATGGATCAGAGTGTTGGTTTTTCAAACCATAATTTGGTTTGACAAACAATGCACGTTAAGTAATTTTTCCAACCATGTTTATTATATAATATATATATATATATTGTACTATTATGTTATATTATATTATAATATTATTAACACCATATTATATTATGATATTGAAAACACATATAAACATCACTTGTACATGTATGTGACATATTATGAACATACAAGATTACTATAGAAATCTATTTTTTTCTATTCACACCAGGTCATTCAGTGTTTTTTAATACGAAAAATTCACATTGCTATGATCAATATTTTCCTCTCTGTAAATTAGTCTTCTTGGAATTTAAATATCACTTAGTCTTTTTTTAAACTTTTTTAGACTTTGTATTAAATGGTAATATTTAAATTTGTAATACAACGCGTAGATTTACATATATATATATATATATATATAATGTATTTTATAAACGGAGAAAATTTCAGTAATTTTTCGTGGCTTTTTGAGATTAATATTTTTAATATAGTTTTAATTTTATTTAAATTAAAAATTAATAATAATTGGATTACTTGAAATACTATTACATTGCATAAAGATTTTTAAGGTAAATACAAAATTTTTATTCGTGCTAATAAATTACAAACAGCTTTTTGAGTAGTAAATAATTAAAGAAGACTAGGAAATTCAATATGGTTATCATAATTTATTAGTTACCCACTAACATATTAATGTATATTTTATATATTATTATTACAATTATTGTACCAACTTTTTATATACTATCTACATACCCTTGTTTATTTATTCTTTTCTTTTCAATTTATTACAACATAAAATTATAGATTCTTAGCATGACCATATTTATTTTACCAAATAAAACTTAAATAGTACTTTAGATAATACCCTTTTGAATATCTGTGCCAATTAAAAATAAACTGTAATTACTGTTTAAAGAATTTTATTTCAACCAACACATTGCTAAAATAACATTAAACAGAGAAACAAATAAATGTAGAAATCGATGAAAAAATCCAAGGTTTAATTTTTAATGGAAATGACATTTTTCATTTCTAATCAAGGTTTTTCAACTCTAAACTAATGATAATATACAAACAGTGCATCAATTTTCTATTTAAAGTAGTTCCTAATAAATTATTTCACATTTATTTTTGTTTTGATTTTGTTGTAAATAATTACAAAAAATTAATTTGTTTTATATGACATCGCACGTGACATGAGTAAATAATAAATTCCTAGCTATATTTAAATTTTTAATACATATTTAACATATTTTTTAAATCATTAACCTTGTATAATGACTATATAACCAGCTAAATGCTATAGTTCTTTGATCAAATTTATATGATATATTACTTTTTACATTTTTTATTCAATGATATTGTGTATTATAATTTTTAAGATATACTTTTATATACATGCATATTGTAAATGTATAATTACTGTCTTTGCCATTGTCATTCAGTAGTCTGAAAGGTTGAATAAAACAAACATATTTTTTGTCATAAAAATAACGCTAACATCAAATAAAAAAATTACAAAGAATGTAATTTAAAAACTACAATTAAATTATTGCATCAAAAATAATAAAAATACGAACGGAAAATTAACGTATAAAGATGTAAGCTCATTCATTACGTTTTGTTAATGTTTCATTTTTAATCGAGTAATATATTATTCAAAAATAAAGTATAAGAGTAAAAATATTTTATAAATAAACAATAATAAACTATAGTAAATTAATCTCTAACTGTCGAAAAGAAAAAAATCCATTTATTTTTATTTTTCAGGAAAGATTAAAACTGAATATCTTATATTAAATAATACTAAATGTTTTAAAATAAAATTATGTTTAAAATTTAAATCAACGACTAAAAATTTTTCATTTAATAAAAAATATAGATTTTAATAATATATCTTTCATGTATAATTTGTAAATATAAGTTATGAACTTATCCCCTTTCTTTAGGAAACATTGAATGGTCATTATTGTGTTATTATAAAAGTAAGAAATATAAAAAATCAAAATTTTATTTGTATTCATAGTTTTATGATATTTATATCTATTTTGTGATTTTAAATTAAATAAGATAAGCTGAGAATAATAATTCCTATTATATACTCTAATATTGATCTCTAGAAGTTGTTGCCTTAGTAGTTGAAAGTGCTACCGATTTTTACCTTGTGAACACCATGCCACTATTCCATTTGTCATCATTAAAACGAATCCTGGAGGTTGATATCCTTATTGTTATATCACCACCATAGTCTGCAAAATTTCATTTCACCTTAATATCAATTATTAAACCATAGTTAAACTTTCATTTTAGATATTTTAAAATACGTTTAACCGTATTATCTGAGGCTTTTCCAAACAGTGATTAGCAAGATTTACAGCAAAATAATAACAAGTCTTGTAAAATGAGACAAATATAAAAATATCTCAACAGTTTTCTTGTATGGAACTTTCACTGCTTGTAAAGATTCTAACAAATTTAGATCTAATAAATATTAAGAGTCTCTATTTATTTTGAGTTTAGTTCAATATACCCAATCATTTTTAAATATCTTTTTATTTTTTAGTAAATCAAATAACTTTTACTTATCATATTTCTTGAATGGTAAAATTACTTCTTTCCAATTTTCTGAATTTCTTGTGTTATAGGTTCTTTGAATATAACTGGATCATCCGATTTGGAATATAATGTTTTTGAACTACATACATGTATATTATATTGATTTTTAAATATTATGTCTATCATTGAATCTCATTTTTGGTAGTTCTTGAGCTTGATTTGTTGAATGATTAAATTTATCTACATTTTGTTCTCTTTCAACATTATTTTTATCATAAATATATTTTCTTCACTTTAGGCTTCGGTTTCTAAATTTATTTCTTTCTCTTTTTTTCTTTTTTAATCTCTACATTTATAGTTTCTCTGAAAATAACATCTCTACTTAATAAAATTTCCCTTCCATCAAAGTATATACAGTATCCTTTAGTTTCTTCTGGATATCCAAAGAATATTCCTTTTCTATATTTTTAATCCTCTTATATACATATCTCTTTAGATATGTGATCATAATATTACGTGGTGATTGGGGAGAGAAGGTAAAATGAATGTGAGTAAATACAGTACTAGATTTTCAGATGCTCTATTATAACTTTTAATTAGAATTAACTTGTGAAAGATAATATTACTATAAGAATTTTTAATTTTAATTAATTATTCATTCAAAAGATGATAATTTTTATAAAAAAAATTGTACCTATAACGAATATTTAGTATAAAAAGGTTGGGTTCTCTTCTATCATTTTTTAATAACAAATACCGACGATTGATATGCAATGAATATGTAATAAGTGTAAAATTTCACAATTTTAAAATTCTCTATTAATTTAACTACAAGTGATCAATAATACATTTTTCTATCCAATTTTTACTTAAACTCTGCTCTAAAAATGGCTAGCTAAAAATTTTTATTAACTTCTTTTTAGCTTTGATGCGAAGCTTTCTCACAAAGGTATTAATTTTTTTCTATGATGTGTTTTTTTTTTATTTATTATTTTTTTACTTTAATATGTATTTTTCTAAATAAATTAATTAATTAATTTCAAAAATATTATAATTTACATTATTATTCTGATGTTAAAATTATTTTCGAAAAAGTACTGCAAAATAGTCACTGAATCAAAAGTCATATACAGTAATTTTCAGATAATATTGAACCATTCTTTATATTCTTATTTTCAACTTAACCCATTAAATTTCGTTCACAAAATGGTTGTACTTAGTATAAAATTATTAAAACTAATAAAATTTAATTTTTTAAAAAATAAATTCTGCTTTTATAATAATATAAAAATTATCACTCAATGTTTTGTACAGAAAGTGGATAAATTCATAAATTACACTTATTAATTAAAAATAATATAACCGATATTTTAGCTACGAGGTTTAGTTTTGTAATGATGTTTATTATAGTAATAATGTCTGTCCATGAAAATTCTCAACTTTCACTGGACTTATTTTAATAATCAAGCGTCAAAAACAACCGATTTTAATCTAGATAATCCCATCCTCCTTGAAAATTGAAAAAAAACCTTTATTTTAGAAATTTAGGAACATATCCTTAAAATTACTCTAGAAAAAATGTCATTTTTTAGATGTTTTTCTGTAATGTAAAACTATTATAACTTCTTTAAAAACACTGATCCTAATGAAATTTTATAAGGTATAGTAGAGACGAAAAGCTTTCTAATAGTATACTTTTTGTGAAACTTTAATGAAAAACCTTAGAAGTACAGCAATATATTTCTACCAAATTTTTTTAAGAAAAAATTAAAAGAGATTGAGTTTTCCTATTACTAGAATTACAGATTCATATGCTCTTAGATTCCTTTTTTAATGACGAATACATTATTCTTATATTAAGATATCTCTGTTTTTGCAAATGTCCAGAAAATTTTGGTCAAGAAATATAATTTTTACTTCTTAAACAAAAGACGCAAAATTCCTAAATACATATTTGATGGTCTAACTCTCCATCAAAATATAAACTGTTAAATAACTAATGACAAAATAACTATGATTTACTTTTGACAATTAAAATTAACTCAATTTATTAACTTATTTGATCCAATATTATTTATTCCTTATTTAAAAAAATAAAAATTTCCTATAAAAATTTAACTTAAAAATAACAAACTGATTAATGAAAGTTCATTTTATATATTTTTTAATAAATATTAAAATTTTACCAGTACTTACTCATTATTTGTATTACTTTGAATAAAGTGAGTCATATAATTGTCAATCATTTTATAAAGTATTAATAATTAATTACGTAAGTGCCGTATTATTTTTGTTAATGGTAATATTTTTAAACCAACTTTTAATATACTTTTAACTTATTAGAAGTGCTACTTTAAACAAATAATCATAATACACGATTAATAGTATTTAATGATACAATTTTGAACAATAGCTTTTATTGATATTTAAATTATTGATTTTATTTACATAATTACTTTAATTTTAATTTCAAATGCACAGCAATGTCTTTCAGAAATTTTGGTTGGAATTAGTTTGGTTAACATATGTTAATGTTTATATATAAAAATACCTAGTTAAAACTAAAAATAATAAAAATTCATATAAGGATTCACCTTTAATAGTTCCGCCATTGAAACACGGTTTTTATTTAAACCTGATTTACATTTTCCAGAAATAACAATTCTTACTATAATATATACGATTATTAAGATTACAAAAATTAGTAAAATTGTTTTGGAGCTATACTTCAGTCTATAATTTATAAAGTAAAACTCACATTTCAAAAAGCATTATAGTTTTAGTTGGCCTTTTAGTTTGGTTAACATATGTTAATGTTTACCCTTAAAACTTTCTTAAACTTCATCAATAAACGAACAAAACATGAACTTATATTACAAAATATATTTTTTTTTTTTGTCGTAGAGATCATATTGTGTTTTTGACTACCATTAATTTAAATCCCAAATAAATTATTTGGTATTTAAGATAAGAAATTCAAACATTAAATGTTCAAAAAAATTGTATTTTATTCTCCGTCCTCCATTACAGAAAAATTCTAAGTTCACTTCTTTCAAAGATAAAATAATAAGTATAATTTTCTGTATTTTCTATAGATAAACAAAATTTAAAAAAAAACCCAGCACAGGGGGGTCGCGGCACAGTGGTGACGTGGCATAGTTGGATCAAGTAAATGATATCTCACAGTGATTAAAATCACTATCAAAAATAAACGCTTCGATGCAAATCTTTAGATAGTGTTTAATTTTAAAAAAATTGGTGTTTTATTCCAAAAGCTACTTGATCTGCTGGTTCCTTATTAATATC